TAGTGAAGTTAGCTGCACAACCGCCAAAGGTTAAACTTACTACGTCAATACCGGCAGCGTGAGATAGTCTTATGCAATTTGTAATTAAATTAGCCCTGGTCTCAGATGGTAACCCATTTACAAAAATGTACGCAACAGGATGTTTCCAATTTTCAGTTACACAAACTAAAATGAACACATACGCCTGCGTAGCAATTTCTTTAAACTCTAAGTGTTCAGAACCATAATCGACTAATCCCTCTGAAGTTTGACCCGTCCACTGTGTATGATCCCTGAGAGCATCTCATCCACAACAAGGCCACAAATAATTCTCTTACCAGATATAGTACTTTTTTGTTTCAATATGGTGAATGCTTCTTCCGTGAAACCAGGTGACACAGAATTATTTTGGTACCATTTGGCTAAAACGCGAGGATGAGGAAGAACATTTTGAAGTTTCCGCCTAGCATATTTGTAAGCCGCCGAAGAATAAAAGTTTCACGTTAATGCAAACTTTCGAATTGATGCTGGATATTTTTATACAGTTTTTTAGATTTTCTTTTTTCAATTATTCTGTTAAATAAATCTATGGTTTCCGCTCTTAAATTAAGTTCTGAAAATTCAGATATATCAACGTCATCAAGACTGGTAGGTGTAGCAGCCTGACGAGCATTATCCTGAAACAAAAGAAAATGTAATTATTAATACCTATTAAGTACATATTTTAAACTAATTGGGCACGTACTGTACTAAGCCCCTGATCATCGTAAACTATTTAAAAATTGTAATTAACAAGTAAGTACATAATTTAAAAATAAAAAAACCCGACTGCAAAGACCCATTTTATTTTTGAAATGTTCTTTTTACAAACTTTTATTTGATACGCATATTGCCATAATAAGAAAAAAACAAGCCCCGGGGGGGGGGGTGCTTGTTTTTTAGCAATCCCAAATGAAAAAAGGAGGGTGCTCTCTTTTTCATTTGCGGATGCCATTTTCATAATTTATATACTTAGCCTATGTCACTACCACAATTCTGACGAATCCAACGACACCTTATCACAAAACCGTTCAGCTGTTTGGGCTGTAGGGCATGCCAAAGAAATGGACATACATTACGCTCGAAAAACATTATCCTCCTGCAGTTGGGTAAAAATGTTCTAAACGTTTTACAGGATACAGATAAGTTATTTATATTATTTCATTATTTTTATTGATATATTTGATTGGTTTACACGTTTCTGTTACAAAACCTGTATAAAACTTTATTACTTACCGATAAAATTATAGGAACTGCAGATTTTTTAAGACGCACGTATCCATTTGTTGTTGTATATTTGTCTAATTCTTTAAAATGTACTGAACAAATCGTGCTAAATCTCGTCGGTAACCAATCGCGTTCGCTTCTATCAGTTTGAACTATTTTGGTCCATTTATTCCTTAATAATTCGTCATTCGGGAATCTTGAAAACAAACAACCTAAATTACGCAAAACGTAACATAATAACATAAGATGAACTTTTTATACCTGTACAGTTTTCACTTCTCATTGAATAATCTATGACGTTTATGTTAATGCTATCCCTTTTACACTCGGCTAAAATTGTATACTCTGGCCTATGGATACTTCTACACTCCATACTCCGGCCCATGGAGGTTAGAGAACCTCCATGCTCTGGCCTTTATTTACAACAAAGTAGAAAACTTCTTTTAGAAAACGAATTAATTATAAAATTTTATGCAAAATGATCGAAATGTGTGATAATTTAGAACAAACTTACGTGTGATACGAAACTCCTTTGTCTTTTTTATTTTGGAATAATAATTTTTACACTTCCGCATCACACAACTCGGCATTTCAAAAACATTTCTTTGCGTCGGTGCGTGTGATTCAGATCGCGGTTTCCTCTGTATACGTATACACACTCTTATCTATGGTTTCTGCGCCACTAGAATTCTTACAATTGTGTGAATTTAATTTCAACACTTTCCGAGGTCCATGAAGTTGGCACCCGGAAATAATTATTAAAAGTTCGACTAGTATAAATCTATTGCGCGTAAAAAATGATGTTTATCGGTACTAATTATTTGTTTGCGCGTCAAATTCCAGGTAAGACACACCATCGACGATAATACGACACGTGTTTCGCCTCTACACGAGGTATCCTCAGGTAATGTAGACTCTACGGCGGCTGACCGTAGCGGTCAGCGAAGGGGTGAGGATGCCTCGTGTAGAGGCGAAACACGTGTCGTATTATCGTTGATGGTGTGTCTTACCTGGAATAGTGGTGTTGGAAGTAGTGGTGCCGGGAGTAGTGGTGTTGGGAGTAGTGGTGGTGGGACTAGTGGTGACGGAGTTAGTGCATGCAATTGAGGGAGGGCGGGAGGTGATCTTCAATCCAGGTAAGACACATCATTGTATTTATTTAGCGGAAGGTTGCGAAGTAATTTATATTTTTATTTTTTGTTATAATGGATTTCAGCAAAGTAACGCCTGATTCTACTTCAAGGCTGTTTAGATTAATATTTAGTAAAATTAAAGTATTTATCGCTAAAATTTGCATATTTTATAAGTGTGTAGTTGTGTAGGTATAATATTATTTGACTAATCATCTAATTGTTTAGGTATTATGAAAAAACCCAATGTTTATGTACATTTTTAATAATACTTACTAATTAGGTAATCGTTGCTAACCTTATAATATTATCAGTAGTATTGTTATTTTTTATGTTTATAAGGGACTCTCTGACAGATAATTAAAGAGTTTTGGCTTGCTGCTCTTGTTTTATTGTACAAATAATAGTTCGAAGTGGGTTTTGATACTTAAAAGTGTTGCGATTTTGTATATTAAATGTCTGCGCATGTAAACTATTAGTGGGAATGATGAAACAAGTGGTCCTATGCTAATGTGAACCTCAAGATAAAGTATCTGCTTAGGCGCCTTGAGATACTGTCGTCATCCACCGTCTGTTGGCTCAAGCTGCCATCCAAATGTCCCAAATACTTCGTAATGTGACGCATCAACATATTGTGAAGAAGTTTTTAAACAAAAAATCTGTAAGAACGACGAAAAACGAAAAAGAAGAAGCACGGCTTAAAGGACAAGCATTCCAGCCAAAATCATAATAAATAAATAAGTTTATTAGTTGTTAATGTGGGTAGGTTTAAACAAAATATAAGTTATTCCTTAGTTATATCATGTTAATCGTCCCGCTGGTCGTAATATATTAAAACAAAACATTGTAAAAACGGTTAATACGTGTGTTATACATACATGGATAAAGAAAATATACCAGTCTTACCTAAACAATTATTATTCAAGAAAATCCAGGAAGGTGTTTTAGTGGAATTCTATTATCTTCGCTTACTTTCCAACAAGCGAAGATAATAGAATTCCACTAAAAACTATTAATAGCTTATCAAGTTGCTGGATCTAGCACGGGACACGGTAAAGTAGCATCAAGTAATGCTAGATTATGAGGTTGACTCAAAATACGTTACTTTTAGACAAAAAAATGAAGACTTGGACTGGGACTATAAAGTTTTTAAAGACGAAGCAAACAATAAAGACAGTAAAATAATTTCTATAAGTGACGATGAAGAGAGTTTTATTGTGTGTGACAAGAAAGAATACAATTATTTTAGTGAAAATAAACACAAAAATTGTCTTGGTGAGACCAAGAGGGCGGTTACTCCATTACATAAATCTACTCTTAAACAAAATAGGGTGAGGAATACAAAATAGGTACTCTTAAAATTTAACGACCGTTTGAATGATAGACTGCAGTCGCCAGATAATTGTACCTACATTTCAAAGTATTTATACGAAACAGGATGTTGTTTTTTCATCGTAACTTTATTATTTTTTAATAAGTATGCTCGTAATAGTATGTGCAAGTTCAAATCAATAGTACAAACATCAGCATTTTAACATAGCTTGATCTTGCCTTCTATGTGCCTTCTGTACATAGTAGACAGTCATGAACAAGACGTTCATATTTATCAAACGCCAAGAAAAATTAATAAACATGCAAAAAAAAAATTTAGACATGCGAACAGCGTAGGGTTATGGGGTGTAATATGGGCCATAGGGGCTGCACTCACGCGAGGGTCACGACGAATTGCCATACTTACATTTTTCTTAGAAATTTTGTATAAATACTCCTACTGATAATAATTAAAATTATAATTCCATTTAGGTATTTTTATGATAATATCATAAAATGTCAGTAGACTTTGTCATTTCCTATCGAATTCAGCAGAGGCTCAGAGTAAGTCAAGTTTGCGCCATGACAAATTAGAAGTAGGGCACACTTGCTTGAAATTACTTGAGCAACCGAAGTTAGAATCGGTGCCGGCTTTTAGAAGGGTGACGTGTTTAGCGTTGAAGAAAAGTCTACTTATCTGAAAATAATATATATATATATATATATATATATATATATATATATATATATATATATATATATATCTTGAATCTTCTGACTTACGTAAGTAAATTATTTATTTCAGGGTGATCGTGGTGATTGCACAATACATCGAAAAAAGAAAGCTGGATATTCCGGAAAAATTCTATTAGTTGTCTCGAAAGTCACGATTCGAAAAATTCTGAAAAAATGCCTTGACATAAAAAACAATAGCATAAACAGGTTTCACAAGTTTGCAAGAAATACTTTGCCCTAACATTTAACTATTACTCATCAAAAGCCTATCGCTATGTACGTAAAACTTTTGGAACACGTTTGCCTGCACCACGGACATTGACTAAGTGATACACTACCATCGATCGCCGACCAGGGTTTACTCAAGAACCGCTGACGGCATTAAAATTGAGAGCGGAGAGTAACCCTGATAAAAAATTTATTGTACCTTTGTCATGGATGAAATGGAAATTAAGCAATTAGCAGCCAAAGGTATTATGTATGTAACCAAAATGTCTTTTAGAACTTGCATAGTACTCCGTTAATTGATTTATTTTCATTTCATCTATCACTAACATACAATACAATTTCTTGTCAGGGTTACCGTACTACATCTATGGTTCTTGTTTTATTTCTTATGACACAGTTTTTCAGTCTGTCTGATCTTTTGACATTCAGCATGCTCCTCTCCATAGCATATTGGCAAGTTGCTAACCTGTTTGTCATTTCACGAGTTAAAGTCCATGATTGGCAGCCATACATAAGGACGGGTAGTACGCAGGTGTTAAGTAGTTTGCTTTTGATGTTTATGTGAAGTTGTTTGTCTTTCATAGCCTCTCTCAAGCTCCAGTATCGTCTCCGGCTGTTCGTAATTCTTCTCTTCACTTCCTCGCGCATAGGTTCTTTTTGGGTTATGAGTTGTCCCAGATAGATGTATTCGTCAGTGTAGTTGATTTCGGTATTTCTTATCCGTATCGTGGTTTTCTCTCCATTTGTCATCACTCTAGTCTTCTCTAGATTGAGTTTTAATCCTACTCTCTCACTTTCTATCGATAGGTCTTCTATCATTTTATTGATGGCTTCAGGTGTTTTGGCGAATAGCACTATGTCATCAGCGAATCTTAAATGCGTCAGTGATGTGCCGTCTATATTGATCCCAAGATTTTCCCAATTAAGTTTTCTGAAAATTGATTCCAGTACAGCCGAGAATAATTTTGGGGACAGGGGGGTCGCCCTGTCTCACGCCTTTTCCTACTTTGAATGGCTGGCTTTTCCTATCTAACTGGATTCTGGCTGTACTATGACTGTACACGTTTTTTATTAATCGAATGTATTTGAGTTCAATCCCTTGTTCCACTAATGCTTCCCATATGTTTTTATGTAGAGGAGAGTCAAATGCTTTACTGTAGTCGATAAAAGCAATGTAATATGTAAGCTGGTATTCGATGTATTTCTCAATAACTTGACGAACTACATGGATGTGGTCGATCACCGAGTAGTCCTTACGAAATCCCGCCTGATCAATGGGTTGTTGTTCGTCTAGCGTTCTTTCAATACGTTTTAAAATGATCTTAGCGAAGATTTTGTAGATGTTTGACATAAAACTGATGTGGCTATAGTTTCCGATTTCATGTTTATGTCCCTTCTTATACAACAGGATAATGTCCATTGCTGGGGAATTATTTCAGTGTTTATAATATTGTTAAACATATCTGTAAGGACAGGTGCTAACACTTCCTTTCCTTGTCTTAAGATTTCGTTGCTTATGCCGTCAGGACCTGGTGTTTTATCTACGTTTTGAGTATATATGGCTTTCTTGACTTCAGCTTGAAGAATGTTAGGAATGTTTGAGGTATCCGCCAAATCAATTTCGTCTTCTGTTGTGTTACTTTCGTACAGTCTCTTGTAATAAGATGTTGCTACATCCAATATTCCTGTTCTACGATGATTCCATTTTCCACTGTCATTTTTCATTTTAACAATCCCATCCTTCGAATTTCTCAACTATCTGTATGCTATTTTGATTCCACCTGTTTTGCTTATAAATGTTTTTATAATTTCCATTCTGTTTTGTTTTCTGTCCTACCTAATGCTATCTTTAATTTGTTTACTAATTTCCGTTAAATTTTTTCTTCTGTCCTGTGTATCTTTAGTGCTAATTAAATGGTTTCTCGCTTCTAGTAGTTCTGTGGTATTTGTTGTTAGCCATTTTTTCGGTTCAGTTTCGGTATTTGCAATTAGTTGTATTTGGGTTTTTATGGTATTTTCTATCCAATTGTATCTTCTAAATTCTTTTCTGTTAGATTCATCTGTAGATTTGTCTGTAAATTTGTGTATTAGAGCGATTGTTATTTGTTCTAACTGATCTTTTCCGAGCTTAGTGTTAAATAGGTCGTGTCTTGGTCTAGGTTTCTTTGGTTGATTTGATGCTAGTTCTGCTCTAATTAGTTTATGATTAGTGTTAAAGTTCAATTTCTCGATTACGGAAAAGTTAGTGAAGTAGTTGTTTCTGTTGGTCATTATGAAATCAATTTGGTTTTTTGTTTTGCCGTCTGGCGAGATCCAGGTCCATTTTTCCTGAACATAGTGTTTAAGATGGTGAGGTTATTTTCTAGTGCGAAGTTTGTAATATGTTCTCCATTTCTACTTCTGGGTTTATTACTGTATGTGAAAGGTCCTAGTACTTTTTTCTCTTCCGGGCGCTTTTCTCCAAGTTGACCATTACAGTCTCCCATTATTATAAGGTTTTTATGACCGTGCTCGTGGATCGCATTATTTAAATTAAGGTAGAATGTATTTATTGTATCCAGGCTTGATTGTTCAGTAGGCGAATATATTTGTACTATTGACCAAGGATCTTTATATCCAGGTAGTTTTAAATTCATTATAGCAATCCGCTCCGATATACCTATAAATCCTTCCACATGTTTTGTTATTTGTTTTTTAACAATAAATCCAACCCCATGGAGTCCCGGGGTCTCTCCTATATGGTAGAATGTGTAATCTGGATACGATATGATATTTTCACCCATTATTCTCACTTCACTGAGGCCAACAATGTCCCATTTGATGTGTTTTAAAGCATACATGAGTTCTGTAAGGTTTTCTTCACTTTTCAGGGTAAGTACGTTGAGTGCTGCGATAGAGATTATGGATTTGTTATTTTTGTTGTCACTTATTGTTGGAGGGTTGTGGTCTCTTTCCCCCACGAGGACCAGTCGGCTTGGGGGAGGTTGGTGTGTTCTTGTTTCATTGTTGTCAGTTTCTTCAGTTGGTTTTGGTTTCCGTTTGCTGATTTTTAATTGTTATTGTTTTCCTGTAGTAGATATATTTGGACCGACCCCGCATCATCAAAACATTTGTCCTGTTTGATTTGATTGAAGCTACAATCTGTTGTTTTTTGGATTGGTTAATGGGTGATAAGGGGTGATCAGCAGTGGGTGAGGTGGATGATTCTCCTTTTCATTTATCTTGGCTCTTTTGATTCTCTTTAACGATTAGTTTATCATATTTCAAATACGCAAAATTGCCTTTTTTCCTTTCTTCAGCTGGCTTGGTTTGTAACGTTTTCCGCTTTTCCAAAACTTCCTTAAAGTAATCTTCACTGATATTAATTTTATTCAGGTTCTTTTTATTTTTAATAATTTCATTCTTTTTCCGATTGCTTATAAATGAACATAGTACCGGCCTTGGTTTGTTAATTTCTCTATTTTTAGTACCTAAGCGGTAAATTTTGTTGATTTCGTAATGTTCTATAGTAATATTTAGATCTTGTTTCAGATGTTCCTTAAATTCTTGTAGTAGTTGGAAAGTTGATGTCTCTTTTTCTTCCAGGCTTAATATTATGATATTATTTTTCTTCTCCACTTTTTTCAGAAACTCAATTTCTTTTTCTAATTTTTCTACTTTGATTTTTAGGTTTTTGTTTTCTTCCACTAAAGGGATTAACTTATCATCCATTTTGTCCATAATACTTTTTGTGATAGAATCCCTCAATTCCGCAGTTTGGCTTTGCATCTCAATTTTCAATTTTTCAAATAATATTTGAAATTGACCTTCCATTATATTGTTATGAAGTTATGTTAGCGTATGTTGGAACGTAATATTAGAAATGGTAGAATTTATTTTTATGGTTGGCAACACTGGTGGTACTGTCAGTGTCGCAAACGCCCGTCTTGTTGACGTTGCTATGACATATGTCGATGAATAATGTCTGTAGTGTTTTGTAACCTCAAATCACTGATGATATTGTTATTCTTATTTATTAACGATCACCAATAATCACACCAGTCTGATTATCTATAAACACTTCACAGATGTTTTGCTTGCGACTTAAACTTAAAACACTCACAAATAGTCAAATTGTGCAGGTTCGATACGATCCCGCGGCTTCAAATGACCACCTCGAGTGCGTAGCAAACACGCCATCATTACTACTTACTACGTCTGCCAAAATAGTAGTTCTATTACAAACAAGTACGAAACGACAGATTCGTTCGTTACGAGCGTTTTGCATGTGTTTGAAAATTTTTCTTTAGCCGTCACTTTAAATCACAAATATAAAGTTTTTAAGTTTCTAAAGTATTTATTGTTTTATATTTCTATTTTTATTTGTGTCACAGTTTATCAATGGATATATAAGATGTATTTGGTATTACTTTGGGATAAAATAGCACATATCGGTTTTATTGCTGTGGGTAGCTCACCGTAATATTCACAATAATGCAGTCTAATTTGCGTATTATATGTCTTGATAACTCTCTCACACACGTATTGAACAGTTTTCTCCACTTTTTTGGTAAATCTAGCGCGATACAGTTGGATATCTATTTTTAAGCAATTAAATTACGAGAGCACAATGTTCACGTGACAGCGGAGCCGAACGAACCCAGTTATATATTGCAGTTTCGATTAAAAGATTTATGGGATGTGTGGGATTACAACACTATTTGCGATTTTAAAAAATCTTGTAGAAATACCATCACATCTAACTGCACAGGAAGAACTGCACTATCTGTTTTTAAAATGAATAAGATAGATTTAACTTCTTGCTCTGTCGTGTAGTACCTAAATTGCCATTGAGTGTGTTTGAGCGTGTATATTCTGTGTTACGTTTTGTGTTACAATTCCGATATAATATCGTGAATATTAAGACAACGAAGTTGTTGTCAAAAAATAGCATTGGTCAAAGATAGCGTAATAAAGTATATACCTACAACTGATTTTTTATTTATTAGAGGTACCTACTGAGTGTATATATTACGATATCTATACAATTATATTGTACATTTTTATTTTATTATTATAGTATTTTCACTTAAGATTATTTTTGTATCGGAATCTCTGCATGTGTCCCGTTCCTACTATCGGCATTTTGCCGCCTTGGGCGTTGGACGTCAATACAACTTTTTAAAAATAATATTAGTTATTAATCTAACTTACACGTACCTTGTTGTATGTACACCGACTAGATCAGGTGAAATACGTTTATTTCAAAAATAATAATTTTAAGGGTATTTATAACATAGTCATGTTCGTAGCTTAGGCGAGGAAGGTAATAAAAATCGACTACTGAAATAAAACCTATTACTAAATGAAAAATGCATATTTAAAGTCACGTTATAAGTCCAACGTGACGAAGTCACGATGATTTTTCACTGCTACTTTTTGTAATAGGAACGATGGTCACGCCTCTTACGACATTCACGGGATGATATGGATATCCATACACCGCCACAACACGGTAAATGGATAATTTCTCGAAACCTTTTATTTATCAACAATGTCTTGCAATCGTCGTTTCTCAAGCGCTCACTAAACATTCATACAATTAATTCGATATTTTAATTGTTGATTATAATTTAATTGTTATTTTTGGATAAGAACATAGCAAGTTATATTTACCTTCATTTAAAAAAAATATGGTCATAGGCCTAGCCTACACTACTCTTAGGCTTGACCATAGGTCTGACTAATTGGTCCAATACACTGTCAGGACGTGTGGTTAATAATAATTAATTAATAAGCATTGCAAGTCTAGGTTGTCATCTTAATGCACGCACAAATAATTATGAAAAAAAAATATAATAATAACTATACACTATAAATATACAACTATAAAATATATATAAATAAATCCTATACTATTAAACGAGCAAGTCTTGTATATATATATATATATAATTGGGAACTCGGAAACGGCTCCAACGATTTTCATAAAATTTAGTGTCCAGGGAGTTTCGGGGATAAAAAATCGATCTAGCTAGGATTTATTTTTAGAAAATGTCTTTTGTCCGTGTTTTTAGGCAATGAAAAACTGAATTAAAGGATAAATTTTGACAGATTGTTAATGATTATATATAGCTTAATTGGTATAATGGGCGGTCACAGAATCGTAAAACCCCAGTTCGAGCCGAGACCGACCGACCGACTTTTTTTAATTTTTTTTTTCAAGTTCCTTTCTTTTTTTGAGAAAATCTATTTTTCGAGCCCTTTTTTTTAGTATTTTTTAAAAACACGAAAATTTAAATTAAAATAATTGCACTCATGATTTTTTATTCAAATAACCAGTTCCGTTTTTTCTGTTATGTCGCTAAGATCAAAAAATATTATTTATATTTCATCAGTATGTAATTTGTATCTAAATATAATTTTTAAAACACACGAATTAAAAAAAAATCGAGCGAAAAATACCGAGCAAAGCTCGGTCAACCAGGTACTATATAATAACGTAGCTGGTCTAAAACAAACTGACGTGTCTGTGTCACACAATGATTTAAATATCTTTGGTGTCACAGAGTAAGGAGAAAGGGCCACAGGGGAAGCTTCCTAACAACGTCGAAAATGTTTGCCTATTTTGATAGGGTTGTCACCTGACGAATGTGAAAAAGGAGGATGGCCAAAGGAGATGAACTTGATTCCTTCCAAGTTTGGGCCCGGTGTGAACAAAGTTAAAATATGTCTTATTTTGAAGA